ATAGTAGACATCACTGAACCAGAACAATTCTTAAAAACAAAAGGTAATACACAAGAGACTTGGAAGCCAACAACGTTAAAAGCTACCTAATGAGGAAGGAGGAATTTGAAAATGTCCCATCCACAAGAAATAAAGAGTTGKTATATAGTTCTTAACTTTGTTAAACCCAGAGGGAAGATGTCGATCGGGGAGGGCTAGAACTTGTGTTAAATGATTGAAGGTTTGGTACAACTATCRGATCCCCGCACCTCCCCCGCACCTCGGACTACTAACGCGTAGCTGGCTACGCGTTGACGCGTATCCACCTTAGTATAGACATATTTTTTTGGCTACGCGTCAAAGCGTATAACACAGGCATACCGATACACCATTTTGACTCGTTGCACGCGTTAACGCGTAGTCACTACATATAAGAAATTCTCGCTCTTTAAGTAACAATGCGCTAAAGAACTAGGGAACTCTCTATTGTTCTGCGGCATAGCAAGTTGCCCATGTACGAATGTCTTGGTTTTCACACTGATCATGTATCCATCTGTGGGTAACACATTTTTGAAATAAAATGTGGTTAAACTCTATTTTGAAACAAAGTTTCTTTTGTATTAAAAGCTCTTATCCAATCATAAGCACTCAAAACAATAGCCAAAAGATGCTTCTAATTTGCAATGTTCCTCACATAGAATTGCCTTAATATTGAAGCTAAAGAAAGCTTTCATGAAAGCGAAAACAGACATTGAATAGAATATTAGAAAATTTGCTAACTTGTGAAATTATAGCAGATTTTCATGTTTTAACCAATGGGATGGATGGATTATACAATGCTCAATTAGCACCTTCTTGCATTCCTGTGCCGTTTGCTTCCCTAGTTCTTACTCGGGGCATTACTTAATGAAGAGACATGTATAAGTATATACGGACACAGGTATACCGATACACCATTTTTGACGCGTAGCACTACATATAAGAAATTCTTGTTTTCTAAAGACATGTATAAGTATATAGACACAGGTATACCGATATACGAAATTCTTAGTAGCGGCCCTACATGTCACCTAGGCGTAACAGGAATGATGATACCGATATACCATTTTTGACGCGTAGCCACTACATATAAGAATTTCTTGTTCTCTAAAAACATGTATAAGTATATAGACACAGGTATACCGATATACCGTGTGGATGACAAAGCGGCCAAGGCCATGGTCCCCCGGGGGAGGGACTCCCTTATAAAAAAGGGCGGGAAAAAATGACCCCTAAAAGGAAGCTGTATTGTGAGATGATGRGCGTGGCAACACTGAAATTTCACCCACAAGAGGGGGAGGGGACCAATCAATAAATGGTTATTTTGTTTTGGTTTCCCGATTTCATTGTGTTTTTGCACAAGCATCAAACGCCGTTGGCTCGTATTGAGTTTCAGTATGGCGACGTTGTCATATTCAAATATATGATGACGCYTAAGGTCGCCGTATACCCTAATAGGGACCACAAAACTCATTTGGTTGGAATTCTCRTCATTATCGGCGGGACCAAAACACTGATTTCAAACCCTAAAAGGGWCAACGMGGAACCCCGCCTTTTCTTTATTAGTATAATTTATATTCTTTTTGTTTTACTTCTGCCAGTATTCCAATTTTTTTTTATTTTGTTTTATTCTATTTTTTTTAATCATATTTTCATTTTGCTTTACTTTGATTTATTTTACTTTTTTGCTTTACTTTTTCTTCGTTTTCATTTTTTTTTTCCCTTTTACTACTATTTTCAATTTAATACTCCAGTTTCGAATTCTCCAATGCTCTGTGTTAGCCTCACTTATGCGCAAAATATTCCTTAGTTGTGAGCGTAAAAGTGCGAGATTTCAAATCAATTCTATTGTCTTTCGTTTCAAATTCCATGCGTTTTCTCGAGCTATCAATGAAACAAAAGAATATGTTACTTGGTTTTGAGGCTAACACAGAGCAAACCAGAACTCGAAATTGGAGTATTCAATTTTATTTGTTTTGCCTTTATTTTTAATTATTTTATTTTTTTCATTTTATTGTGGTTATAATTATTATATATTCATTTTATTTTTTTTACTTTTGATCAAAGTAGAACAAATAAAAATAAATAAAATAAGAGTTAAAGAAAATGAAAGAAGAATTTAAAAAAGTACAACAAAATGCAAGAAACCTAACCTATTTTTTTAACCATTATAGAATGCAAAGTCATTGTTTGGGCTCCCTGTGGTATCGTTTGTAGTTTCCAGTGCCTCACGGCAAAACGTAAATCTTTGACAAAACTCCTCTAGTCAGTCAAAACCCAAAGGAAGTTGTTTTAAGGTGATGGCTACCTCTCAAGAACCAAGCGAAGAAGCCCATAAAGTTGGAGATATGTTTGCTGTGTGYCCTAAGAAAGACTGTCCTCATGTTGAGGTAACATCGATGAAAAAGGAATGAACTTCCTCCTTTGGAAAATGAGTTTGACACAAATAACTAATTTCTGTTTGTTTGCTTGTATTTTGGTCCGTATTGTAGTGCTTATGATGTGAAAATAGTGTACTTTGAGAAGCATTCACACCTGATTAAACTTACATAAGATGAATATTCCTAGGAAATAGCTTTGCCAAGCTTTACA